CCTCCCAGCTCTGCCTCAGGCTTCCGGCTACACAGTCCCGCCCCAAAGCCACAGCCATCGCGCGTGGCCCCTACCTGGCGTGGCCCATGTGAGAAGCGTCGTACACAGTTGGCCCACAGCAGTACCACGTCACCTTTTTCCCGTTTTGAGGTATAAACACGTCCTTTGTTAGAAACGGAGGAATGCTGATCAGAAGGAACGCAACAAACACCGCAGGGGGTCACCAAACACGCTGTGGGGCTGGGCTGCCCAGACCAAGTTCAACAAGGACCCCTTTCTTGTACTGGAAAAAACAGCCAGCTTCTCAGCGGGAGCCACATCAGACTTGCGGGCAGCCTCCACGGGCTGAGGACACCCTCAGGGCCCAGGCCTCCTCCTCCCTGGGACTCTGCTCAGCCACAGCAGGTGGTGGGAAGGAAACAAAGTGCTGCTCTGCTTGCTGACATGCCCCCTGACCCGCAACAATGTTGCCGGGCCCTGAGCACTCCCCCAGACTGCTGTATTTACTCCCTGCCCCCCAGCGGCGGGAGGCCAGGACACTGTTTTCTTTTCCAAGAGAGCGAGGGTTAGGGCAGTCGGCCAGGGCCCCGAGGAGCCACCAACTGGCTGGGCTCCCAGGACAGTGGCTGCCCTGCAGCCACGCTCTTCCGGAGGTGCTTCCGGAAGGAGACAGCAAGCCGCCCGCCCCGTCACTGGGTGACTAAGTGTGCTCACTGAGTAAAGATCCCATGAGCCACAGTGGGGTCCTGAGCAGATGGCCCCAGGCCGCCCCACTCTGTCGGGCACCAGCCCTGCCGTCTTCTCAAGCCCACACCCAACAACATGCCCGCAGGCCTGCTGTCCGCTCATCCTGCTCGGCTTGGACCTGTGACGTCGGGGACAACAGAGCACACCAACTCCTGGCTTGGCTCAGGTCAGCCCAGCGCGTCCGTGCGTGGCTCAGGAAGCCGGGCACGCGGAAGCGCCTCGGGCTGTCGGGTCTCGGCTTACCTTGTTCCGGGTGAGGCTGTTGTAGAGGCGCAGCTTGCCGGACTCCGTGCCCGTCGGCGGTGACCACTGGGGCTGCCCGCGCCGGCCTTTACCTGGGGGACAGAGAGCGCAGTCAGACACCTGCACAGCACCATTGACGTGGAGCTCCTGACACTCCCGTTTTCTGTTCTTACAACAGAAATGTAACTTTCTGTGAAATGTAAAACAACGCTTTGTTTGGCTGTGTGCTGGTGAGTTGGTTCCAACTCACAATGACCCTACAGGACAGAGAAGAACTGCCCCATAGGGTTCCCAAGGCTGTGACCTTTATGGAAGCAGACTGCCAAGTCTTTCTCCCATGGAGCCTCTGGTGGGTCTGAACTGCCGAACTTTTGGTTTGCAGCTGAGTGCTTCACCGCTGCGCCACCAGGGCTCCTAGAACAATGCTCGAGAACAGGTGTCGGTCAGCAGCATCTCAGGCCCCGCCCTGACTTCCTGCCCCCATGACACCCCACTGCACGTGGCCTGTGGTCAGGAGGCAGCGGGCCGGCAAACGTGGTCACAGTGCCACCGGCCGTGCCTGCCTGCGTTGTGGGACAGCTTCAAGGCTCACACAGTCTATACCACCCCTCAGGGACCCTGCCCCTCCTCCCCCGGGGCCAGCGCGGGGCTTGTGGCACCTCGTGTGACCAGGCCCTCTAGCTGCAGCAGCCGAGAAGCCAGCACAGAGCAGCTCCTGGCTCAAGGCCATGGAAGCTGGGGTGGGAGTGGCCCACCCCACAGGCCCTCGAGCCCCCAGTTAAACCGGGAACATTCCAGGTCCCCAGCCCCTGCAGGGTCCTAACAGGAATCTAACCCAGCCACTCCATGCTCTAGAACTCGAAGTCCATTCTTGCTGCCTTCGGAATAAGCCTGAGGTACCCCCAGCCCCAGGCTGACCCCCTACAGCCCTCAGCCTGATCAGCACCCCCATCCACTTCCTTCCGGGCAACCCTGCTCCCTCCAACTCCGTTCCTGCCCACCTCTTGCACCCTGCTTGGCGGGTGGCCTGGGCCAGCTTCCAGCTCCTCCCCCGCTGGGTCTCAGGGTGCTGTGCTCGGCAGCTCTGACCACATGGAGCACAGGCTGTGGCCCTTTCCTGCAAAGACTACCGGGCCTGAGATACCGCTAGGCCAGGCTGTCCGTGCACAACTGATCACTGAGAACCCAGAAGGGGTGGGACTCCGCCTGCGGCCTGCCCACTCTGGGCATCATCACCCCCAACCACAGTCCAGCAAAGTGCGGCCTCGGCCCCTTGCCTGGGACACCAGTGTTGTTCTTATCACCCTAAGACTCGGGCCAGCACCCCTCCTTTGGGAGGTCCCCACCGTGCTCAGCAGAACCCGGTCTTCTCATTACTCGCCTCTGAGCACATCCGTGTGCCCGTGGGCTCCTCTGTAACCACCTGCAGACACAGGCTCTCACAGTCTCTGGGTGCCTTCCCCAGGCACAGGGCCCAGTGCCCAGGAAGGCCTCAGGCGCCTCTGCTGGGCCGCGCTGGGGGTGCTCTGCCTGTCCCCACCCCGCTCAGCCCCCCTGCTGAGCCACGCTGGGGGTGCTCTGCCTGTCAGCACCCCGCTCAGGGCCCCCTGCTGGGCCGCGCTGGGGGTGCTCTGTCCCCACCCCGCTCAGGACCCTCTGCTGGGCCGCGCTAGGGGTGCTCTGCCTGTCAGCACCCCGCTCAGGACCCTCTGCTGGGCCGCGCTGGGGGTGCTCTGCCTGTCAGCACCCCGCTCAGGACCCTCTGCTGGGCCGCGCTAGGGGTGCTCTGCCTGTCCCCACCCCACCTGTACCCCCAGCCCGAGGAGGCGCTCCCCTCAGACTCCAGCCTCAGCCTCCTGGGTCTGGCAGGGGCATCTCCACTACAACCGGGGGTCAGCGACAGGGATGGCTGCACAGGCCTCCCCTGAATCTATGCCAAACGCAGCCAGCAGATCGCCGACAGCAGAGTCGAGTCCCAGGGGAGAGCCGGTGTCCCCGCTGTCCCCGAGGCCCCGTCAGCCTGGACAGAGGACGCTTGTCACCAACGCGCCAAGGACAGAGGAAGGCAGCTGGGTGTGGGGGCGTGTGCACGTGTCAGCGCGTGTGCGTGCCGCGTCAGCGCGTGTGTCAGCGCGTGTACGTGCTGTGTCAGCGCGTGTGTGCGTGTGCAGAGGCTGACGGGGGCCAGGAAGGGGGCAGACAGTTGAACCGCCAGATAGTGCTCAAAAGGAGCCCCTTGCGCAGGGAAGTTCCAGCAAAACCACAGGGGCCACAGATCCTAAACGCATCCTGTTCAAATCTATCCTCAAACAGGCGCAAAACACCAAGTGTTCCAGCCACAAGCACCCCCAAGCCACTGCGAAACACCAAGTGTTCTAGACGCGTG